GCGCCGCCAAGGAAACGGCCACAGCAGAGCCTCCGGGCCCCCGCACTTGGCGTGCGTGGTAGGTGCGGTGACGAGTGCTAATGTCGAGTTGTTTCAGCGTGTGTGGCCGTATGATGGGTTTCTGTACAAGGAGGAGAGGGGGTCAGAGGGATGCCAAACATGCAAGATCGTCAAGTAAGTGCTTTGCCAGCCTACCGGGAGAAACACACACCGATCCACATCTATGGGCCCCGTCCGATGCATCCCATCATTGAGTGCGCTTTCCACATGTAGGCCTGCCCGGTCTAAGCATTGCTCGACTTGTGGCCACTGCGTTGCAAGGTGGTTCCATTGAATGATGCATTCATTCATTCCTGGGGCTGGCGGGCGGATCCATCGGGCAGTGTTGCAGTATGTATGTGAGTTGCGCTGTCTGCAGATATGACCACCACTGCTTTTGGACGGGGACGTGCATTGGGTGGTACAATCAGCGGTGGCTCATGCTCTACTGCACCCTACACATGATGCTCGCCATCTATGGCGTGTATTTCGGTTGGTCAGGCAGGCAGGCAGGCAGCCCGACGAGCAATGGAGACATTGTTTCCCCACTGTGCTCATGTCATGTTGGTTGAGCAGGTTGGTCAGTGCTGCAGCACACAATCGACACCCTCCTGTACCCAGACCTACTCGCAGGTTACTTGGGTGGTGAGGGGACACGATACGATACACACGGACGGTTTTATGTATGTATGTGCATCCCATATGTACGTACGTATAGATATTTCTCGTGTATCTATCTATCATGTCGTGCAGTGATGGAGGCATATGGCGATTACGACAGCAGTGCGTTGCGTTGAGAATTCTCATGTGCCACCATGCCTGCCTGCCTCCAGGGTCTCGAGAGGTTGTTTGCTGTTTGTATGTCTGCCTGTGTTGTGTGTGCAGAGACGGGATTGATGAGCCCCGACATCAGCATGGTATTCGTCAACGGAATCCTCACATGGGTACGGTGCGGCCGCGGGGGCTGGTCTGGACGGACAACATCATGTGTGTGTGCGTGTGACTGGGTTGTATCATGTGTTCAGGCGTCTGTTCAGGAGCATCCCGGGCTGGCGCTGTGTGTGTTTGTGTGTCTCAACATGAGCCTGTCGATGGCTGGGCTGGTGGCCTTCCACTGCCGTCTCCTAAGCTGCAACACGACAACCAATGAGTACTACACTGCACTGCACATCAAACCCAATTCCATCCAAATGTCAGTCCAATCGAATGAATGTAGGTACTGCAAACGCAGACGCGCCAAGGCACACAACACCTGCACACTCCTCATGTAAGCCTGCGTGCACGTACGTACTTAGGCGTCCGAATGAGTAACTAATGGCACGTCACTATGTGCAGAGAGAGGGCGCCCCGTGCCATCCGCCGAGTGTGCAGTGCGGATGAAGGGAGCATACCGTCCCCTGTGCGTGACGAGACACGGTCTGGCGTGTCGACGCGCACCACAACAGACACTGACGGCGAGACTGTCGACGGCATAACCACACAGGGGATGGCGGAGAAGTGTCCCTGGATGGGCGTCAGGGGGTGTCTCTGTTCCCCAGGGTGTTTGGTTTGGCGTTTTGGTACGAGTGTGGATTGCGGCTGGTTGTGTGCCACATGCTGACTGTCGTCCGCGTGTGGACCATTCTGACACTGGGACGACGTGACGACCCCCTCAACCCATTTGGCGCCCACAATGCATACGACAAAGGTAATTATATTGATGCACGGCACCCGAGATGTCACCTCCCATGCCATCCCTGAGGAAAGGAAGGATACGTGCGAACGAGCGTGTGTGTGTGTGTGTGTGTGCAGGTTGGAGGCGGAATGTGATGGAGGTGATGGCCCCTGGATGGACAGATAGAAAGACGGACAGACAGAGGGAATGGCGAAGGAAACAACACGGATAGAGACGACGTGACGTGACGTGACATGCCAACCCTGCTTGGGCGAAATGGGTTTGTTCCATTGGCATCAATCATGTCATGCCATGCATGCACGGGGGCACATATGCATACCGTAGGTGTCTGTCTCGTCGGTCAGTCACACACCCACAGTTGGTAAACTGCCCGGCAACTGGCAGTGGGGATATAATATTATAGATATCCGGACAGACAGACAGACAGACGACCAGACAGACAGACAGGCAGACAGGCAGTCAGTCAGTCAGGAGGACAACCACGAATTGACACAGACACGCACACACACATGGCGCTCACTCACTCACTGGTGGTAGTGGTGTATGAGGGTGGGAGGCACACCAAGCACACGCATGTCATGTAGAGGTTGAAATCCAAGTGGATCAATCAATTGCACACCGCACCGCACACCCAATCCATCCACACCCATCCATCCACGGGGACGGACCAATCGGATGGATGTATGGATACTCACCTTACCTTGCTGCCCGCCATGGCCCCATCCCCCTGCGTCCATCACACACCCTTGAAACACTCCGGCAGCCATCCATCCATCCGCACCGACAGACTGACGATTGCGACACCACACATTCACATACAGGGAGGGATGCACACACGCGTCTACACGCTCATCCCCGGCACGCGAGCGAACTCGAATTGACTGACTGACGCACTAACTGAAAGACAGACAGACAGACAGGCGAGGGCAGCAACACAGGGCGGGGGA